TTTTTAGAATAAAAAATTTTCGAAGTTTTTTTATTATTAAAATTTTTTATTTTAGAAATTTTCAAGAATTTTTAAAGTTTTTTGAAGTTTTTTCCGGAAATTTTCTGATGTAGATAAGCTAGTTGGGCTTATTAAGTGAATACATTTCTCAAGCTTCATAAGAACTTTAGATTCACCATAAGTTGAAACTTTTATGGTCCAGGCAGGTAGATAAGCTGATAGGAACCTATTTGCAGGTATATAATTTTTCTTCACCAGTCATACATATTTGCAATAGTACTTTCAAATATGGCAAATTTTTTTTGGATTTTTCTGAAGAATTTTGCTTACCTTAGTTTGACCTTAAATTTTTTGTTACACCAAAATCTCTGGTTGGTGATTGGTTGAAATTTTGGGACTGGTTGATCGATATATAAAAGAAAAATAAACAAGACATATACTCTTCACGTGTTTAATGTCATACTACATTAAAACTGATGATGTAATAGGATATGATGAAAAAGCAAAGTGTCGAAATGTCCTTTTAAATAGAAGTGGTTTGAAGTTTTCCCTTTTTCCTCTTGTGCCAGTTTTTTTTCTCCTTAAGATCAAAGAAGACTTTCATTAGGCTGGTGATTGGTTTAGATGAGTTTTTATTTACCAGTACAAACTTTTTTTTCCCCTTTTATCTCCTCTTTTACTTCTTAAAAAATAAAAATTTTTTTACCTCTTAGGACCATAAGGTTGTGTTGAAGTAACAGTTTGAGTTATACATGTGGTGTAAATTATTTTGCTATTGACTCAATTATCAAAATCCTTAAAAATAATTGCGTCTGACTCAATTATTTTATATGTTTTAATAGTGACTCAATTAATTGCGTCAAATAATTGCATCAATTGCGTCAAGGATCTACCAATTTCTACCACATGTATAGTTTGAGTATAGGCTGGTGTTAATCTCTTGGAGTAAAGATCAAAGATATCTAACTCTAGAAAAGAGCAATTTTATTACTTCCCATAATCATATCTAGAGAGTTAGAATTTGGAAAGTCTAAGATAGTTAATATCATGCAGTAATAGCTTAATGAATCTAATCACTTGTAGTAAAATATTTAGTAAATAGCTAGTTTATATGGGCAACACAGTGGTCTTGATATTAAGGATTCAAGAATTATATACAAATTCATAAAATAACTTGTTAACAGGTATTCTGCTATGTAGAAAAAGTTTAGTCTTAATATAGTATCATATTATATATTGTATTAGTGTTTTCAAATCGAATTAATAAACATATAACTAGCAGTTTGATTAGAGAAAAAAAAAATTAAATAAAGTTAAATTAAATTAAATTAAATTGTTTTAAATAAAATCAAATTAAATTAAATTAAATTAATTCAAATTAAATCAAATAGAATTGAATTAAATCAAATAAAATCAAATGGAATCAAATCAAATCAAATCAAATCAAATGGAATCAAATTGAATCAAATTGAATTGAATGGAATTGAATAGAATTGAATTGAATTGAATTAATTTTATTTGATTCAATTTGATTTGATTCAATTTTAAAATATATAAAAATCAATTCAAAAATAAAATCGAATCGAATTGTTAGGATTCTTAATTAAGATTAATGATTTCAAACTTTAATCCCTTATAAAGACAACTATATGACTGATTGGATGTCTTACATTATTACCAAAGAGGAAGGTATCTAAAATCCCAATCAGGAAAATTAGAGATAGACAATAAGTGTTTGTATATAAATAGTTAGTTAAATGAGGTAAGAATATTAGGCTTATACTGTATATATACAGTATATTATTTTATATATATTAATTTTTAATAAATAATAAAGAAAAGAGTACAAAAAATTAAAGTGTACAATTATTAATTAGTAAAAAATCTAAAAAATTTGTAGAATATTGAAATAAATTGCTTAATATCTTTAAAAAAATGAAAATCCATTCATCTGAAAAAAGTAAAACTGATCCAAAAAGTGATAAAAAAAAAAGTAGTTATATATAATTATAATTGATATTCTTATAAAATATTTAAATATTATTAAAATCAAATATTTGTTTATCAAATATTTATTTATTATATAGTTAACTAACTTGCTAAAAGGTATTTTGGACAAACATTCAATAGCAATTCAATATACAAAAATAACTTGTAAGAAAACTTATGAGACTATAACTTATTATGATATAACACCACCCAAAGATTTATTGAATTGGGTTTACTATTCAAAAAAAGAAACTGAAGAATTAGTAAAAAACATAAAAAATAAAAAGTTGTTAAAGAATTATCAATATATTCAGAAGAGTATCAAACTGAAGAAAATATAATAATAAGTAAGGTCAAGAAGACAGTTATTAAGATAAAATCAATAGAAGGTATAAAAATTGATAAGAAAAAAATAACCAAAAAAAAAAAATATATATATATATAAAATAAATTTTAAAGATTATCCAGAATAAGATCAATTAAAAAAAAAGAAAATGAAATGAAAAAAAATAAAAAAAATAAAAAAAAAATAAAAAATAATAAATAACTTAATTTATATAAATGATTTTTTGTTATATTCAAATTATATTATTTTATTATTATATTTTAATAAACTTTTTGTTAATTATAATTATGAATAATTGTCAAATTTTATTAATTATTTTTATTTTCTAAATAATAAAATTAATTATTAATATGGATAATTATTTTTAAAGGTAGCAAAAATATTAGATATGATTTTTTTGATTCCTACTTTTAAACAATATATATATAATATAAATTTTAGGATTACAATTATAATGATTGAAAAATTCCTATCCATCTTCGAAAAGAATTATCCATATATATATATATGAAAATTCATCAAATTTTTAAATATAAAATATATTAAGTTATTTATCAAATATTTGTATTTATATTGTCAAATGTTATAATGTTATAGTTGAACTATTCATAAATATTTAACAAATATTTATATTTAATTTCATGCCGAGTAGTATCAAATAGTATAAATTCAGTTTAATTAATTATAAAAATTTAAAAATTTGATAAAAATTTGATATATTAAATAATTAAATTTCAACTAGTATATCTTACTTAATTCTTTATTTAAAAATTTTAATAATTTAATTTAATTGATTCTATTTTGATTCTCAAATTTATATTAAAATTAATATATGAAATATACTCTACTATTATTTTTAATAATGTTTTAAATATTTTGTAAATTTATATTAATCTGATTTTTGAAACTATATCTTTATCAATTATTATATGATTTTATAAGTAATAATTAGGATTTTTAACAATATCATTTTGATACTGTTTGATATCAATTTAATACTTAAATTTATTATAAATTCATATAAGTGAATTATAATTTATATATTAAATTTATATAAATTAATATTATTTTAATATTACTTTGATACTTTTCAGAGCTTTAATAATAATATTAAAATTCAATAACAAAATTTCAATAAAAAAAATCTTTATTATAATTTTATAATCCAGACTATACATGTAGTAAAATTGAATTCAACCATTTTTCAAAAACCATATTATGATAGAATTACTAAGTAATATAATAGTAAATAATTGGAATTTATATTTAATTCAAAATCATATTATTGATCAAATTTCCTTTTATAATAATATAACTATATATATGATTTAGACAACATATTTAAAATTCAATTATTAAAAATTTTATTATTTTTTTTACTAATTTAACTGTTAATAAATAGATATAAATTATTTATAAGTCACTTTTGATATAATATTATTTTCTTGATATTACAAACAGGCATTAAATACAAGACATTTATTAAACTTTAGTTTATAGATATCATCTTCTTGATACAATATTATTTTAAAAATTTTATATATAATAGGCTAATATTAACTTAAATAGATTCTTAATATAATGACAAAATTATTATTAATTAATAAAGTCTTATATTTATAAAAAAAAAAAAAAACTTAAAATAATTTATAAAAAAATTTTTATTTTTTTAATTTTTAATTTTATAGAGTTATAATATAATATCTTTTTATATATTTTATATATTTTATATTTAAATAATTAATAAGGTTTTTAATTTACTGTTTATTAATATTTGAACTTAATAAAAAATAATAAATAATTAATAAGGTTTTTAATTTACTGTTTATTAATATTAATTTAATGTATATTATTTGGATTAATTATATAATTACATTTATTTTTTTACAAAAAATAATAATAAATAAATTATATACAATTGATTTTTTTTTTTTTATTAATTGGTTTTTTGAATTAAAGCTTATAATATAAAGTGAATATCAACGCGTAAATATCCGTTAATATGAATTTCCGCGTATTTTAAAATTATTGTTTACTTATTGCACATTTTACATATTGCGAGACACCGATAATGTTCATTCGTGTGAAAATTTTAACGCGTCTGATTGACTGTATATTATGGCATAATTATATCACTCCTTAATCTATTAATAATTACGTATAAAATCTGCATAATGATATAAACATCTAAACAAAAGTAAATTAGGCGCGCGGTGACACGTTTTTCGAATCACAATAACCAAACTTGGTACGCTATCGCACCTGACTAATCACGCAACCGTTAGGACTCGTGATCTTATATAAACAACGCCTGCTTGAGGCGTTTTACATTCATATTTTTTTTTTTGCACCTTGACCAAATTTTTTTTTTTTTACCTTTAGTTCTTCTTTTAGGAAATTACCGTTTACCGTTTATCGTATAATCTTTTCCAACAAAAATGGGCAGAATGAGTGCAGCTTCTCGGTCCAAGAAGGTGGTTCCTTCTTCTCATCCGAAATATGAAGATATGATTCGAGGTGAATAAACAACTTCCCAAGGAATAATGTTGGCACGGAATATTTTTTAGGGGGTTTATATTTGAATAAAGGACAAAGTTATGAAGATAGAATTTATTGTGTTTCGAAGCCCCCTTTTAACACTTTTCTCACGCTTGTAGATGCCATCATTGCTTTGAAAGAGAGAAAGGGAAGCAGGTAAATTTGTTTCCATACTGTTTATTGCGTTGTGATATTTGACGCGTTTGTTTATTTTATTTTATTTTTTTTCTTGCAGTCGTCACGCAATCAAAAAACATATCTTGGCTACTTTCAAACTTCCTGATAATACTGCCACGAATGCTCGTCTTAAATTAGCTATTAATAGAGGTGTAGAGAAAGGAGTTTTTTCTTTCGTTAATGGTACGTAGTTTAATTTGATTTCTCTGTTATGAAGTATTGTATACGAACTATATTAAATTATTATATTTTTATAGGCCCTAGTGGAACAATTAAGCTCGTTAAAAAGGAACCCGTAAAGAAAGATAAGAAAGAAACCGAAAAGAAAGAGACAAAACCAAAGAAGGCGGAAAAGAAGGAAAAACCAAAAGTCGAGAAGGTTTTAGTCTTTTCCTTGTTCATTATGATATATTATTAGGATTTAAGGATTAAATTTTAATAAATTTGTAGAAATCGACCAGAAAGACTGCTACACCTAAGAAGACAGCCAAGAAGCCGGCAGCGAAACCCAAGAAATCTGCTGCTGCAAAGAAAACTAAGAAAGCAACGAAGAAAACAGCCGATAAGAAAACTACAAGGAAGAAGTCTTCGAATTAATTCCCTTTTATAAATTTCCCATGACATTGTATAGCGACCTAACGGTCTTAAGATTTTATTCATTTTTCGATATTCAATTTTGATATCCAATTTCCGTAGAAATTTTGAACCAAAATTTTTATAGGCATACATTTTTTTTATTTCTATCCCCTAGATCCATCATGTAAATAAATTTGGATTGCTTTGAACATTAGTCGATTAAATTTTTAACGAAATCTAGCGTTCATTTTTTTAAGGAGACATCAAACACAATAATTCGTTATTAGTGATTATACTATAATTAGTAAAAAATTTTAACGTATAATTTTTGTACATACATTTCTTAGAGAATGCACGTTTAAAAAATACAATTTTAATAAACTTTTGATACAGCAAATAATAACTATACTATATCTTATTAAAGCTATTGAATAAAAGATTAATTAGGTTATTGTATATTCTCTTGATTCATTGGTTCTCAAACAACTCTTTCGAAGTTATTTTTATTGGTTACAAAATTATATTAAATATAGTATACAATTTTAATATACTGTATTTTATTTTTTTAACAATTTGCGCTTATAATACAGTATATTAAAAAGAATATTTATACATTAAAAATTAGGAGTTATTTATAATAATTATTTTAAATTAAATTTTTTTGAAATAATTTTTTTCTTGTTATAATATTATATTTTTTTTTGCAAATAAGCATTAGATGAGCGATTTTTATTAAATATTTGTTTATAATCAGTATATCAAACAATTTTTACATGTAATAAGCTAATTGTATATTTTATTATTAAAAAAATTTATTTTATTTAATAAAATTTAATATATTAGATATAAATAAATATATATTAAATATCAACCAATTGCTAAAACACAATAGTATTACTAAACTTACATAGTTACAACTTGTTTTATATATAAAATAATTCATATTAGCTCAAAATTCAATTGGTTCAAAACATTTATTAATATTATAAATTTTATTGAATTTCATGAATTTGTTTCCAATTTTAAAGCAACCTTTGATTTATATACTGTATAATATTAATGCTATAATTAAAACAAAAAAAAATTTTTATTAATATAAGAAAAAACAATACTTAAAAAAAAATATTTTATAGTAAATTTCAATAACAACAATCTTTTCAAATACTTAAATTATTTAATAAGTATATTATTTTATGATTTTTACTAAATAATATTTACAAGTATAATTATATTCTTATATTTTTAACTTATCTAACAATTCCAAATAAAAACTATTAAATTCAATTAATAAAATATTTTTTCTTAAATAATTCTTTAAAAATTTAATCTTCAGTAATATTATCATATTCAAGTATACAAGAATAATTAATTTATTAATAATATTAAAATAAATCTTTTCAATACATATTTATCAAAATCATGATATAATTTTTATTAAACATGAACTTGATATTTCTGATGGCAGGATAATAATCATATACTTACTAATTGCAACCAATTGTTAAACAATATATTATTTATAATATTTAATATTGTTTAATAAAATTCTTATAACAATACTATTAAAATCAAAAATAATAAAAAAATTTTTCAATTCATTTTAAAATATTTCTCAAAAATATTTAAAATTAATTTTTTTTCAATTATTCAAAAAATAAAACATTATATTTAACAAAAATCCATTAAAATTATATATATCAAATTTAATTTAAACCAGTATTAATCAAGTCTATACAATAAAATAAACATGATATTTACTCTCTTGTTGAAATTGAATAAATATAAACTTATTGTTTTAGACTATTTTTTTAAAATTCTAAATGGTTTAGTCTTTATATGCAAGGTATCAAGTAAGTCAATTTTCAATATTTTTTTTCAAAAGAAAGAACTTGAAACAGGTGATATAACTTCTTAATTATTTTTTATATAAGATTCGACAGATGGTTTTTTCAAATACTTTGATTTTTATTTGACTATAAAAAAAATTGATTAGTTTTATAACAATTATATATTTGTTATCTTTTTTATCAGTAACAAGTTTTTGAGAATAATATAAGTATATTTATTGAAAAGTTATAATCGTTTTGACCATTGTGTTTCTGATTTTGTGAATCCAATTTTAATAAAATGCTTTATAACATTACCTACCATACTTTTTTTATAACTGATATTGATTACAATATTATAATAAATCTTTTTTTTTTTATAATTATAAATTATAGCTGCTTTTTATTTAGAAGTTAATTCTTTATTAGTAGGCATTAGTGATTATATAAAAATTGAAGTGAAATTTTTAAGTAAACAAAAAAAAAAATTTTTTTTTATATATATGATATATTTTTATAAATTAAATACATACATATATATATTGAATATATTTTTATTAAAAAAGTTTAATTAATTTTTAAAATAAAATTTATTTAAAAAAAAAGTTGTTTATAAACTTTTGTTTACCCTCTATATAATTTTTTAAGAATTTATAGTTATATAAATTATTAATATATAGATTATTTTCAATAATTTTCAAGTTAAAAAAATATATTAAAAAAAAAAACTCTAAAATTTAATTCTCATCTAAATTTTGTTTTAGCAATTATAAACACTTGAAAAAAATTAAAAAATCAGGAATTATAATAAACTATTTGTTTTAATATTTTTAAAACAATTGAATTAGATTTGAATTTTTAAAAAGAAATTGAATATTTATAACTATTACTATATATACAGTATATAAAAAAGTAAAAAATAAAAAAAAGAAAAGGGAAGAAAAAATATATAAAAAAAAAAAATAATGATTGTTATTTATTTTAAAAAAAAATAATTTTTATTTTAAAAACATATTACAGTATATTAAAACTTGTATAGTTTCATTAATTCGAATTATTAATATAAGTTTATCTATTTGATTTTGATAATAAATTATGTTAGTAGATAGGATCATATTATTTATGACGTCATCGACGTCAAAAACTTCGTGATAAGTACAATTTATTTATATAGGATAAACTAAACGTCAGCGTTACACACATTTATTTTTAATATATATAATTGATATAGTATGCTCGCATCACATGAGAGAAATTTCGCTATAAAAGATTCGAAAAACAATATGCAACATCTAATGGCTGAATCAAAAGAAATTGATACAGAGTCTTTTTCAAAGACAATTGAAGAGATTTCCCTGCGTCATAAAAAAGAATTGAAAGAACTCAACTGCCAAATTACCTCTTTAAGAAAAACGGTAACGAAAGGAGACAAAAAACGTAAAAAAGAAGTTCAAAATGAGATCAAAAAGCTTGAGGAGGATCTTCGAGTCAGACAACAAAAGGAATT